GAGGCACGGAGCTGCCCCGCGGTTGCCAGATTTTAGCGCTATAAATACTGTAATGCTGATAAGAAACCAGCTGTACTGCTCTTCATGATACTAGGGGTTAGGCCTGAGAAATAATTATAGCAATGAGCGGCAAATGATTTGTATGCTTGCTAAATACATTGTAATAATTAACATGATTAAGGTTAGGAAAAAAATACATTTACTGCAATAGAAACTTAACCTAAAATTGTGCATGTCTGAGTACCTGAAGTGTGATTTGCTTTTTTTTTTTTTTTTTTTGGTATTATGAAATCTGCATTGCCTATAAGCAAAGAGTGCATCTAGATAAGCATTTTTATTTGAATCAGGTTGGCTTTTTTCCTAAATGACTTCACTGATTTCCCATGACTGGCTTCAGGATTCTTAACTGTATTTCTTTTGAACAAACTACAAATGAAAGATGCATTTCAGATATTGGGCAGCCCTCAGTCCCTGGGGCAAAACTCAGGAGCAGGCAGGGCAGAGCAGGTGCCAGGGCCAGTGGTTCATTTTTTTCCCTCCTAGTTACTATTGCACTGCTGGCTAGAGGAAGCTGAACTGCAGTTACAAGCGTCTGCAGTTTCTCTTCTCTAAACTGAGGGTGGTTTGTTTATTTCTTTTGCATGCTTGGAAGAATAAAAGCCTTATACTGCATTTTTTTCTAAGGACAGATTAAGTACTTTTTTCCCCCCTCCATCACTTTGACAGGTTAGGTGACCTGTCACTTTTGAGAAGGTCGCTGTTGATAGCCTTCTAGCATTAAACAAGAGAGGTAGCTTGGAGACCAGATTTTCAGGAGTTTGCAGTGGTGAGAGGCAGTCAGTGAGGTGGCTGGACTTGCACAAATGGCAGCGCCAACCATCCCCAGTCAGTGACTGTGGAGGTACTGGAAGAAAAGGAGCTTTTTCTTTCAGACCCTGTGGCCCTAGAAGTAGAGGTTAAGTGCTACTCAATCTCTCCACAAAGTAGTTACATCAAGGTAAATACATACTGCTGCACAGCAACTAAATAAATCTGCCACTTTCTAGACTAACTGCAGCAGGCTCTACTGCAATAAGTACTGTTTAGAATTTCTCAATTTCCCTGTCTTTGCCTCAGCTGAACAATAACAAACCTGATTGTATTAATGTAGAAAACCATGGGAATGAGATCATCCACACACAGTCAAGGCTTAAATTTTCTGTCAAGTGACTTGTGTGACATGCCCTGAAAAAGAATGAGCACAACAGAAATAAGAGCAAGCTGGCACCCCAAGCTATGACATGATCAATCTCTCTTATTTTTAGAATCAAAATAATACAGAAGAGGAACGAAGTGAAGAATTACCTAACATCATGAAGTTACTCATCATCTGCACAGTTACTTTGGCCACACTTGTCACACGACTTGATTCTGTAAGTTTTGAAATAAACAGGGCTGTCTATTTGCAACTACTTCTGTTCTTGACTATACTTCTGCTTTGGACAGCAGACTAGACTTTCTATTAGCATTCTGCCTTCTGCTGCATTTACAAATACCCATGCATTTGTTGCATATATACCTTCATGAAACACTTTGAACCCTATGCTAGTTTTTCCTCTGCATTTGTTCCACATCAAGGTCTCCTCCCCTAGAGAGTTCAATATGGAGGACAAGGCAGTAGCTTTTACCCTTCTCTTAAGGCAATTCAAAGCTGGACATCAAGTACCAAGAACTTGCTGGATTTTCATACAGGCAGATACAGAGTTTTAACTAAATTCCCATTTTCTCCCTACTAGAAAGCATAGGATATTAAGAACAGAGCAACTATGTGACTGCATATTTTGGCTATTGACTTGTATGACAGCTTATATATATATATCAACAGAGCAATTTCAAAACTCTAGAAATCTCTTGGAAGCATGACTTGTTTTAGCTCAGGCCAGCCCATGTGGCCCCTGAGAAAGCCTCATCACCTTTCTCCACAGGAGAACTACCCCAGCTTGTCCCTCAGATCCTCCAGAGGCCTGATCTGAAAGACAGGGCAAAACCATGGAGCACCAAGTTCAGCAGAACCAGAAAGGGAGCTGGATCTGCACTGCCCTGCTTGATGGCTGAGGGGTGGGAAAGGAGACTTCCTCCTCTGTTTTAGAGATGCTGACCCTTGAAAATTGCTTAAGTTCTTAGAGCAGAAGTATAACCACAGTAATGACCTGAGGCACTGGCCCAGTGTGGTGTGGGGTTTTTGGAACATTTCTCATGCATGTGGTATTGGGTTTTTTCCCCTGCTCTGGTCTGTTCAAGTCGAGTTCTACCTCGTAGTCATGGGGAGACTCCACAGAGCAGGTTCAGCTGGTAACCACGTGCACATAACCATAAACCGCTGAACAAGGAGTGCAAAGGGAATGGAGCTTGGGCTCAAAATGTCAGGCATCACGGAGTTGCACCAAAATTGGCAGATGATAAAACATAAACTGCTTCCTTACAAATAATTTGCATGTCTTTCCCTCCTCTCTTTAGACTTACATCAAGAAGCACTACAAGCTACCACATAAACACAGATCAGAATACAATGGTAAGTATCTGCCAGTTCTACTTCAATCCAAAATGAGTTTAACATGCAATTAACACATTCATACAATTCATGTATTTCACTTTACAATACTCCTCAGCTGCTTTAACTCTGATTCCTGGTGTCTTTCACTTGCAGATTGCAACTGTTTAAATGGAGGAACCTGCATTACTTATCACCTCTTTCATCGAATCAGTCGTTGCTTATGCCCAGATGGATATACTGGAATTCACTGTGAAATTGGTAGAGTATCTCTCTCTCTCTCTCTACTTAATAATAATTCACTCTATTGAAAAGATAAGCAAATCATGAATATGAAATGCTAATTAGAAACATCATTTTAAAAAAGTATGGTAATGACAGATTAGGCAAAAGAGACACAGATTATTGCAGCAAAGTCATGGTATCTGAAGTCTTTTTGTCCCTGCCTCTTCACTAATTTGTTTCAATATAGAGCAAATTTGTTTGGGAGTGTCCATGTCACAGGAAGAAGTGATTAAATTGTGATGTATACCAAAATTATTAAACAAGCCCTATAAATGCTTTAAAACATATTTGGTGCAGGCTACTCACAAAACAAACTTAATATACAGAATAACTAGTCCAGATTTTACATCATCTGTTTTCAAGAGTAATACAAGAATTTGTTTCATTATGTGGATGCACATGTTATTACTATCTCAGAACAACTATAAGCAAGAACCAGATGCTAACTTAAACTTACTTTGCAGACACTGACAACACGTGCTACACTGACAATGGTGAGAACTTCAGAGGAATTGCAACAGAAAAGAACTGTCTGTTCTGGGACCTTCCCTCAGTTATCAGGAGGGGTAGCTACCACACTGACCTGAAGAATGCCTTGCAGCTTGGACTGGGCAAGCACAACTACTGCAGGTAAGATAATGTGTCACTCTTGCTGTGAAATTCTAGGGCATATTCCCAGAAGTACCTCTAGTGATAGTACGTGATTAAAGGTGGACTACAGTTTTTTTCAGTGATTAATTTTGAAATTTGGATCTCAAGTCTCTAGAATTTTCACTTTTCAGGGAAGTTCATAATATTCCCAGTATGCTATAGTAATGGCCCTATGAAAAGTACTAGCTATGACAAAATGAACTGCCAATTTTGTGATCAAACAAACATGTGTCCTGATGTAATTTCTTTGGCATAGCTTGCAGTCTTTATCCTTTTAAGACTAGTTAGAATTTTAAGATACTATAACACAAACTGCTTTGATAAAAATAACATGCTCTCTGCCTTCCAGAAACCCCAATGGAAGGAGCAGTCCCTGGTGTTACACAAAGAGAGGATTCAGCATTCAAGAAACACCTTGCAACATAGAGCAGTGTCACACAGAAAGTGGTAAGCTACGCTTGGTTCTGAAATGAGTAGTCTTGAAAACAAGTTGGTACTTGCCTGTTGTAAGATCATCTCAACAAAATTCTTCCTTTCACAGAGCCCACTTGCGGCCAGCGGAGCTTCAGCAAGTACTACAAGATTGTTGGGGGAAACCAGGCAGAGGTTGAGTCTCAGCCATGGATAGCTGGCATCTTCTTCCGAAACAGACAGGGCACCTACCAGTTTCTGTGTGGCGGCAGCCTCATCGACCCTTGCTGGGTGCTCACGGCTGCGCACTGTTTCCGCGATGGGTGAGTTCCAGCACTTCATAGCTCTGCAGTGCTCCTACTTGGAACTTCTGCCAAGTGATTTCTTTGGGCAAGGCTCCCTGCACAAAGCTCAGCACCAGCCTGCAGGGCTCTCTTGATGGACTCTCTCAAACCAAAGAGTAGCCATGGACAAAAGGCCTTTGAGAGCCTGGCAGAATAAGCTAGCAAAATGCAAATATTTTGATAGATATGGATATTTCCAAGTTTCATTCTAAGCTGTTGGTTAGCTGTTCCCCAGATTTTAAAATTTGTATTGTTCTTAACAGCTCATCAGCTTTTAGTGCATCTAGCTTGCAGAAAACTGATATATATTTCCCTACCACTTTGAGAAAAATCTCAATGCTTGGTGCTAGCAGCAACCATGCAGATGTGCAACTCAATGTCTGAATATCTAGTTCATACAGAATCCTGATTTCCCATTTTAAGTCAAACATAGTGGATCACCTTTCAAAGCTATATAGCTAAATTTTGCTATTTTTCTTGTTAGTGTTAAATATGGAATAGAAATCAATGCTGCTTGACCTTTAAGAAATCAAGTAGTTTTCATTAATGTCGCTCTTCACTCAGGTCAAAAGACAAATCGGACTTCAAAGTCTTCCTTGGAAAGTCCAGACTGAATGTTACTGATAATAAGGAGCAAGTGTTCATGGTGGATAACATCATCTCTCACCCTGACTTTACAGACGACACAGGTGGCAATGAGAATGATATTGGTAAGTGTCATGTGTTAGGGGAATGCCATGCCAGGTCCCAGCTGAGCTAAACATTACCTTGAATTAACTCTGTAAATGGATTTTTCCATGAGCCCCTCCATAAGCCACCATAATGGCAGTGATAGGCTTTTGTAATTTATTGATATTAACTTGTCCCTTTTGCACCTGACAGATATTCTATCACCCCTTTCAAACTCCTGCCATTAGAAAAAGATTGAAAGATTAGATCCTTCAGCCCTTCTAGTGCCTCTTAGCAGAGTACCAGAGGACACCCATTACAGCCAGTCAGGAAACTAAGGTCCTGGAATAGTAAAAAAATGGTTGAAAATACCTTTTGAGAGAAATTATCCCCTATTTATTCCCCCCTGCTATCCTTCCAGGAAGGAAGTTGAGTTCGAATGTTTGCCCATTTCGATGTTGGAAAACAATGTGGCTTTCACAATAATAAAGGCTAATGTAATTCCTTAAGTGATAAGGGCATCCAGATGCAACTGAACTAGATGTACCACACGCTTCAGATCTCAAAGATTTTGTAAAGGGAAACTTGTTTTTATAACTCTAACTGTATCTGTTTTTTTTTTAAGCTTTGCTAAGAATAAGGACAACTTCTGGACAATGTGCAGTAGAAACCCAATATGTCAGAACAGTCTGCTTGCCAGAGAGGAACCTCTACCTACCAGACAACACCCAGTGTGAAATTTCTGGCTATGGAAAACAGGACTTTTGTAAGTGAATGACTTCTCTTATCCAAACTATACTTAAACAATGTGAAAACCTCTTATATTTGACCAAAAAAAAAAAAAAGTGCTACTAAGCTTTACTCTGCCTAGTATATAAAGCCTCTTATAGGTGAAAAACTTGACCAAAGCTATGTGGTTCCAGACTTTGCTTTTGTGCAGTTCAGTAAATTGTCTACTTTTTCCAAAAGAAAAATCACAGCACAGTGTGCCTCAGGAACAGTACACTGAAGCTACGTTGTGCATAATATCTGCAGATAATAACACACTGCTCTAAGAGTATTCGGTTTTACCTCTAAAAGTCAGAAATAGGTTTCATAGCAGTATATTACTGCAATACCTATTCTGATCTCTCCTCAAATGCATCAAGATTACCTTACAGCATTCGCTATGGCTTATAGCTGCTCTTAAACTATAGTGGCATCTGTGACGATGTCAGTAACAACCAAGACCCAAAGCTGTAAAGTTATTTCGCTTTGGAACACTTGTTTTCATTTTTAACATTAATGACTAAGTCTAAACTGTCAAGATGAGCCACAGAACTTCATTCCTGTTAGGAAGACCAGCAGTACCTTTTCCTTTTGGAACCTGAAAACAGTCTCGATCTCCTTTGTTTGCAGTTGACATTTACTACGCTCAAAGACTGATGTCAGCCAATGTGAACTTAATACCACAGAGAAAATGCACACATGAATACTATGACAATATCAGAGTTACTGACAACATGGTCTGTGCTGGAGATTCTGCATGGCAAATTGATTCATGCAAGGTAAAAAATCATCTTATTTTCTAAAACTATTGTAGATTGTTTTCCACTCTAATCTACATTGTACTGACAATGTAGAAAATAATATTCTCTTCCCATGCTCAGGGAGACTCCGGAGGCCCCATGGTCTGTGAGCACAATGGCAGGATGACGCTTTACGGCATCGTCAGCTGGGGTGATGGCTGCGCCAAGGAGAACAAGCCCGGTGTCTACACCAGAGTCACTCGCTACCTCGACTGGATCGACTCCAAAATGAATGCGGTACATACCAAAAGTCGGCCTCTCCCTGAACCAAAATGACCTCCTCTTCACACAAGGGGTTCAACCACTTGTACTCAAACAAGTTTAAGCCTATGCTGATGCCAGGGCACTGAGGTCCTGGATGTCACTGAAGTTGGGTCACACATATTGCTCACTAGAGGTTTTGATTACAAATGCTTATATTATCTGCCACTTCTATTGGTGTTTCTGATGCAGAGACAGTAACATGTTATTTTGCTACTCTGACTTACCTGAAAATGATGCTGTGGGAAACTAAAATATTTAACATTTAAATGAGTATTCCCATGCATGATATAACCTGAAATGTATTAGCTGCTTCATTTATGAACCAGTGTTTGGTCCAGAAGCATTTGGCACAGTTTTAACTCAACTCTAGTGTGCTTTTTTTTAATACACATACACTTAGTGTAAAAACTTAGCCTTCTTCAAAATGATGATAAGGATAAGACTGAAGTCCTAGAAACCTACTCTGTTAAAACCAGGATGGAGAAAGTAAGCTTTGTTGCACTAGAACATGAAAGAAATTGCATCAGCCTTAGCGCTATTGCACAAAAGTGGACTGAAGGCTAGCCTGAAGCAATACTTGGAATATGGAGCCCACTCCTATAGTCCCAACATTTTTAAAATCTTAGGGCTAGCAACATTGTCTGTGTCAGTACAATGTGTTCCACTTAAGGACTGTGGTACAAGGTTGCCAATGGTGAATTTCATGGCTGAACCTCCAGGTCAGAGCTGACACTGCCTTGGTCCCATTGCAGTCTGATCTTAGGAAGTCTCTATATGCATGTATGTACCTAGAAAAGGGTCTAAGCACTCAAAGTTTTTTTGTAACCACTGTCCATCCATTAG